CTTGGCCACTTTAAGATGAGTGGACTTCAACTCCCAGAATCCCCCAGCCAGCAAAAGGATCTGAACAACAACAAAGAGTGGTGAGGGAACCTGGTAGCAGCATGGCTGGCTGGGGAATTCTGGGAGTTGAAGTCCACTCATCTTAAAGTGGCCAAGTTTGGACAACACTGCACTAGAGAAAGCATTGGCAAGTTAGTGCTCAGGACTTCTAAGAAAGCAGAGGAGCACACCAAATGTAGGTCGCTAGAACGTTTTGGCTTCTGCAGATCGAGGGGCTGAAGATGCAGCTAGTCTTGGAAGCAGACCAGATATCTGCAATGGCATCTTTGTTTTTTTTAGCCTTGGGTTGATTAAATATAAGCAAAAATTTTCCCAGGAAACATTTTATCTGGGAAATTTCTACACTAGGATTTTTATCTTGAAATCTGATATTTCAACCTGTTATGCTACACATTGGCGTAAACATCTCATGTTCTGGGAGATTAGTTTCCTTCTCTATCCCATTGTTTTTCCAAACTACTTTCATGATGGTGCTTTTGATTATGGGAAATGCCCTGAATTATTGTATTTACCTTTGCACGTTGCAATCAAACAGTATTACAAGCAATATAACTCTTGCAGAATTTATTATTGGGAGTGATCTTGAAGGTGTAGAGCCTGTTCTGCAGCACTCTCGTCTTGTAACTTCAAGCCAGGAAGAACAAAAGTCCATGGCCGACTTTTTTCCTGAGGCTATTTTTCACCTATGGAGCTTTGAATAACATTGCAATCTTTATTTTCCTATCTGCAATTGTGCTTGGAAAAAAATGTACCCACATAGACATACCGGTTGATAAACCTCACCATCCCCAGCCAGACTGGCTGGAGAACCCCAGATTCAGGGATGCTGATTCAGAATGTGGGCTAAATTTAGCTAACTCTTCTTGGGTATGTGGGTTCATCCATGCTTTGCAAAAAAGTTACCCATTTGTGCTTGGCACCGGGACTGGAGTGGGAGGGAGGCACAGATAAGAGGGAGGGCAGAAAGCAGCAGAAAACTGAACCAAGGGAGTCAAGGGGGGGGGGTTTTGCCAAGGAATGCATAGAATTTGACACAGGCAAGAGGGGCTCTCTGGATGAATGGGGCTCAAAAGGCAAGGCGATTCCAGAGTGGAGAGGAAGAAAGACGGCTCAAATCTGGTCCTTTTCAGACTAAGTGCTTTGTCCGATAAGTTGTCAAGCTCCACAATCTTGTGCCAAAACTAGGTTGGCAAACATCCAGGAACCTCCCCTCTAAACCATTTCTGAGTCCAGATGTGGAACCCTCAAAGGATCATCCGTTCTTCTTGCTCCAGTATTCTCAGCCTTTCAGATCCATCCATGCTCCCATTTTCATGAAAGACATGACAGGCATCAAATAGGACAACTCGTACAGGAACAGGCAAGAAAAGCAGGGGAGAAACATTATGGGTCCTGAGAGGGTCCAGTATCTCCTCCAGCATCTTCAGAGCTAGAACCTTGGTTCAAATTTGATGCTGAAATTCAGCAAATTTGAACACCAGAAATTTTTCTGAGCAAGCCCAGGATTTAAATAGTACCCAGCCCAAGTGACTTTTGAGGTTAGAGACACAACGAAGAAAACAGAACAATCTGTGCTATGAGTTTGAAAGACTTAAAGGAGAAACATGAAACATTCCTGAACCTCAGTTCTGTTGCAACCACCAGCAGATAAACAAACCAGGAATGAGATGCGCCTTCCAGCCAAACTACCATGACTCTGGGCAAGAATTCTCAACCACCTAACCCCTTCTTTCAACAGTTTTGGGAGGACTGCCAAGTGGCTGGCAACAGGAGCGTGTCAATCCAACCCATTTGCAAATTGCTGCTGAAGAACTTCCAGAGAAGGGCAACCTTGTCTGTTGGAAGACTCTGGCGCCGAGAGACCATTTTGGCCCAGATTAAGAGTAAGAAAACAACCCCCTGGAGTGCTGGTGCCTCCCAAGGGAGCGAGACCTCCCACCCCCCTCCCAGGAGAATGTGCATCTCACATCCCCACCCAGGCCCGATAAGACTATGGGGCTGAGATTTGGGGCAATAAAAATAAGACTGCCAATCTGGGTGCCAGTTGGCTTGCCTGTCTGGAAAGTCTAGGGCGCCCCCTCGTGGCCGAAAGAACTCCAGCGGCAGGCATTTTCATTGTTCTGGCAGGATGCTTTACTCCCTGGTTGAACTCCTTTACTCACGGGTAACAAGCTGCAAGGTTTGATTTTGGACTTCACCGTTAATGTTCTTTAGCCCCCGACAGACTGACTTCTGGTTTAGTGGGTTGGGTGAACCTAGGCATTGTGTGAATGAACCAGGGTTCAAGGCAAAATGTGTTGTTACAAGCCTATCCAATGGTGATTTAGCCAATAAACTATAATTATGCAAACCATAGTTTAACTAGCTGTGTGAACCCAGCCTCTGAGTGTGGAGAGTGAAGGAAACAAAGAGGGGGGAGTTTATTCCCATTCCGTTTATACTCTTTTTAATGACGAAAAGAAGATTTCAGCCCAGTTTACCGGCTAACCGGCAGGAATGTGTTCCACAAACCAGGACGCTGCTGGTCTGGCCATGAAGGAAGCAGAGCAGATATATAAGACACCCACGGCTGAAACGAGGATTCCAAGCCAGAGCGGAGTTTAAAAGCGGTTTTGCTAAAGAAATCCAGATGGCAGGTTTATAAACCATTTTATTTCATCATCAACTGCTTTGCCACCATAATCCATTGCTGTGAATATGTAACAAGATGATCTCAAGGGTAGCTAACAGCTTGCTAAAGCCAGGATATACTTGCTCCTATGGACAAAAGACTTTTCTTTGGTGATAACGCTTTCCTTTTATTTATAAAAAATAGTTTCTTTAATCTCGGCACATTCTGCTCTTCAATTACTGGTCCCTGCCTTTTGGAGAACAGGCCCGGTCTCATCCCTGGCACCCTTCTCTCACACTTTTTAACAAACATCTGGGTCAACTTAAATATCTGTTTTTAAAAATGGCTTTCACACAGATTTTGGAAAAAAAAAAACGTCCAGGCAAAATACAAAACAAAACCAAGACAGCACATAGAACTGCATCGGCTGGGTTCTCTGGGTCCAACGAAGCTGGGGCAAGGCAGTAACCTTGAAGGTGGCACCTCGCGCAAAAACGAAAAACATGGGAATGAAAAACTCGCCCAAAGGAAGCCTACTGCGCTTGGGTCAGAAAAGGGAAGCAACGACGTTGTTGTGCTGGAGAGGCAAATAAAAGCAGCACCGTTACTTCAAGAATACTGCAGGAAGACGGAGCTTGGCGAGTACCCTTTCGCCAGCCGATCGAGGTTTGCCCCCTTGAACCAGGTGCCAGATCAGTCCTACGCCATCAGTCCACAGGAGCGCCCGGGGGGTCGCTGGGCCCAGAATGCAGCTGCCCAAGGTGGGAAGCCCACTCTGAAATCAGAACAAAGCCAAACCAAGTTTCTAGTCCTTAGGGAGGGGGAGATCGGCCGAGAGCGAGAAAGAGCTGGGACCTCAGAAGCCGGAGGGATGTCGCCTAAGACTTTCGGTGGCACAGCTCCCTCTCCACGGCTAAATCGTGCAGAAGGGGGCGTGCAAGTTAGCTTAAAATGGCAGGATAAATGATATAAAACAAGAGTGATTACGCAATCTTGCCTAATTTGTATGATTGATATTAACTGGCTTTTGTTTTCGTTTCCTTTTAAGGCGTGGCTTAAAAACACAACTCTGGTTACTGCATTTGCACCCATGACCTAACAGCACGTTAAATTAAAATAAAAAAAACTCAAGCCCATCTCAGACCCCTGAACCACTAGAAACTTTTTTTTAAGGCCTTTCCTTCCTTCTTTCTTTCTGGACAGAAGAGTCAGAAGTGACCGTGGAGACCAATTCCATTGCTGGCACCTCTCCAGAAAACTAGCCCTCGGATGGCGAAAGGAAGCTTTGGTGGGCGTGCCGGCAGCCGGGACGGGCACAGATTGTTTCCGTGGGCACTTGAGGAGATGCAACCGGGGAAGACGCAGGGCGGCTGGGCTGGTTCCCACCCCCCTCCGAGACCCCTCCTCGCTTTCTGCCTTGCCAAGCAAAACGGAGGGTCCTGAAACCAAAGGGGGCGGCCCACCCCCCTGGAAGCTGGCGAGCGCGCTTCAGTCGGGGCCGCGGCGTGGGGGCGGGGGGAGGCGGGGTCCCTTGCTCTTTAGACGCGCTTCATCCCTCGTCCCATCAGGCAGGCAAACACGGTCATCACCATCTTGGGCTTCACCTCCACCACGTCCTCGGGGAGGGCGTAGACGCGGGCTCCGATTCTCCTCGCCATCGAGACAGCGTACCTGGGAGTGAGAGAGGAAGGGGAGCCTCCTCAGGCTCTGGCAAGCTCCCGTCTGTGCACCCTGATCCTGAACCGGATGAACTCCCGTGGGATAAGTGGAGAGAGGGTGGGCCAACCCGCCACCAGAGCCCCGACGAAGGGAATGCTTGGCGAGGGATCCCGGCCGAGCGCCTCTGAATCTCAGAAGCTATTATGCCTTGTGATCCACCGCTAACGCCGTGGCTCAGTCTCGGGCGTGACCAGTTACAAGGACTTCCACAACAAACCGTGGTTAAACCAGCCTAGCGTGATGCCCGAGCCAGCCTTGCACAAGAGGAGGTCGGAAGGGCAACTAAATCTGGGCGCCTTACTTGGCATTGCTGTGCTTGTCTTCCTCTGAGAGATCGCCTGTCTTCACGAGGTCGTAATTTATGCAGCCGGGCTGGATCGCGTCAATTAAATCCACCACCGCCAAGCTGCTGCTGATACTTTTGTCCTGAAGAGGAAAACCGGGTAGCATCAGTGAGAACGGCGGACGCGGCAGGCGGGCCCCACGCAGCTCAACGGGCGGCGAGAGCACGGCGGAGCCCCGTCGCTGGAGGGGGACCGGTCTCTCGGCGATGCATCCGGTCTGCTTATCGCACGGCTCAAATGTGTGGCGGGAAGAACTATGCGCTTATGGGGTTTGTGGGAAGCACAGCCGACCTCTTTTTCTGGCAGCAAAGATACGAAAATGTTTCCTGGGGCGTCCAGGGTAAATTTTCCAACAATTTGTTGTCTGGAAACCAGACAGCTTTCTACAGATGGACAGGAAAACGATTACTGTCCTTCAAATAAATGAACAGAAACTCTTATTTTATCGCAAAACTCCTTTATTTTAACTTGTCTTCAGAGGCTCAGTAAGCCTTTAAAAATTCAGGTGCTGGACTGGGGAATACTTTTATAGGGCCTGATCTAAAGAGCAACGCCCATCAACTATCCCAATTCATTCGCTTCGCTAACCGAAGGAAGCTCCTCCTGGTCACGAGTTGGCCCCTTCTGTGAGAACAGGGCCTACAGAGCAGGAAACGGATGTAGGAGTTTCCCAGCATGGGAAGCGTCATATCTCAAGTACGAAAAGGGCACGAACCCTTTTTAACAGGGATGGCCTCTGACCGTGGCTGGTGGTGGAGATCAAGGCTGCAGATATAGGGGAACTGTCCTTTCCAAGCATGTTTTCATGAGCTCAAGGAGTTCAGGAATCCATTTGCCTTTGCAGCTTCATGGAGCAAAGAGGAAGAGGACAACCAGGCAAGAGACAGACGACGTTACCCACCTTAAAGCTCTGGATGGAACTTGATTTCCCAGCTTGTTTCAAGGTCGTGTTCACCCAATTTACAATGATGTCATCATTTGCTTTCTGACCATCTCCGAGATCCTGCATAACATTCAGAGTGTATCTGGACAAAGGAGAGACAGGAGAGTTTCTCACCACACAAAAACTGGGAAAAGTTTCAAAGGAGACTGCTACGTGTGTTTGGACCCCCAGAAATGTAACATTTTTCATGCAGAAGATCAGCCCCAAATGGCTTGAACTAAGTGGTATGATGTCAGGAAAGTGGTTTGTAGGCTAGATTTTTCTGGGCAACGGTGGCCTTCCTTGGAACTGAAGAAACTTCATTAGACCAGAAGGACTGTCCGTCCATCTTGCCCAGTTCTATCTTCTTCTCAATCACTTTGGGCAGATTGTTTAGCCCTCAGAGTCGTGAGCCCTCGTGCAAACTTTCTCCTGAATCAAGGAGGAAAAGGGGCCGTCCCCAGGGTCAGTGCATGTACACAGGGGGCAGGGCTTCAACGGTGCTTCAGTGACCGCCATCTTGCTTTCTTCAACCATCCACCCAGATGCCACCAGTCCCCAGGCCTCGCCCCTGCAGAACAACAACTAGAGACAACTCGGATGCAAGGGTACCTTCTCATCAGCTGCCAAATTACAGCCAGTGTGAGGGTTGGGTTCCCGTCATTGAGATCCTGCCCGCCAATGCCAACCAAGGAGAACTTGGCTGGATGCTTTCCTAGATCGACAGCATAGTTACAGTTTTCCAGCTGTTTGGTGAGAGAGAAGGAAATTGGGGGAAAGAGAGAGAGAGAGAGGGAGAGAGAGAGATCACAGTTAAATGTTAGGTTGGGCCAGGAAACTGCTTTATACTTGTATCTTTGTGGTCTCCTTTTCATCCCTCCTTGCTAGAAGTCTTTTGAGCTGGAAATGCCCAAGAGCTGGCCTTTTCTATAAGCAAAGCAAGGGACTTGCCACTGATGGGAGGCCATTATTTCACAGAGTGCAAAATGGGAGTCAACTCTTTGGCCTAGTCCTGCGTGGGGTCCCAATTTCCCCTTGCTGTGGCCCTCAGAGCCACTGCTGAAAAGACAAGCATGCTTTCCTGCCATTTTGAGATGAAAATCAGAAAACACTAGCATACACCCTAAAATAAGTTATCATACTTGAAAAATCCTCCTAACCATTTCCAAGAACATAGACTGCTTTGCTTATGATGCAGTTTCACCCACTCTGGAGCCCTCAACCCCTCTCGATTAGTAAGCCCCTTGGCCACCAAGAGATTGCCCATCCAGAGGGAAGAGAAGACATGGTACAAAAGAATGTTGTGACCCCAAAACTATGAATCAAAGTAGCAGTTCTCAAACTGTGACCCAGTGGGGTTCCCAGAAGCTTCTCAGGGTCTTTCAGTAGGACGCAGTCACCCTTGTGTCCTACCCCTGGAGGTGCGCAAATGTTCTGACCTTGGAAGAGGCCATTCCAAGTGTTACAACTTCAAAACAGAGTCAGGCCACTTCCAAAAGCTTTGGAATGGGGTGCTCTGGGGCTAAACTGTTCCAGGATGAAAATACTTTCCTTGGCTCTTCTGCCTTTCCTTTCTTCTGCCTGGTTGTGGAATGAGTGACGGGCAGAACACTATTCAGGTTTGAGACAGCACATGGAAGTACTTTAAAAACACAGGCTAAAGCAACAAGATTTCCCTGAACTTTGAAAATGGCTAGATTGGAAGCAAACAAGCCCCAGTACCTTCTTCATGTTTGCTCCAAGTTTAGGGTATGGAGGTCTGTTGACTTTGTTCCAGTCAACAGGAACTTTGATCTTTTCATAGAGCTGCAAAATCACCAGGGCATCCTGCAGGTCACTGAAACAGAAAGCAGAAATTTACTCACTGAGAAATGACCAGTCTAGTTTTCAAAGAAGACCTGATCGATGGGATCCTGGTCATTCCAACAAGGCCTCATGAATGAAAACAAGACTTACGCATAGAGATGATTCACGTGAGGGTTTACGCCAAGGGAATTCATCCAGTTCCGGAATGTCCGTTCTTCACGGGTTTCACCTAAGATACAAAGAGCCACTTTATTTAAGAAATCTATCTTTGCTTCTCTACACAAGGATGACACTACAGACACAGAACTAAGGCCACTGTCCTAAGAACGTTTGAAACAAGAAAGGAGGAAAATAAATCTTCAGGTGCACCAAGATGCAAATAGCAACTAAGAGGTAGCTATGATTACACCAGACAGGCTTCCAAAGAGGGCCTTCTCCCACCATCTTCTGAAGATGAGGGCATCCACAGCAACACCCACAGAGGGAGGAAGTCTGGAGGAAGGACCACTGAAGGCTTTGATGAACTGGCATCCTCCAGAAGTGTTGAAAGTGGAAAGCTTAATGTCCCAGCTGGCACAGGACTTCAGGGGCAAGGAAAGAGGGCTGACTGCAGGCCTTTCCAGAAACATCTGTTTTCCTCCCTTCCTTCCCTCCACCCACCCTTCCATTAATCACACTGCAGGAGAAAGTTCTCACCTTCCAGCAGTGTCCAGTCAATGTCTTGGTTTTCAGGTTTGGTGAGGGCTGGGTACTTGTTGAACAAGTTGGCCACAAATGCCAAATTCAGCTTGGGGTTGCCGCTCACAACATCTGCCGGGGTAACAAACTGCCGACAGCCCAGCCTATCTGCCTGCTGGAGCATGCACTCGGCCCTCTTGAGGTCGTCTTTCTCCTGCGGGGAAAGGAAGGAAGGAATGGCACAGGGGGGCTTTCTAACACTGATTAGATGAAGCCACTGCCTTGGGAGCAAGTCTTTTCAGAGGCGGTTTCTGAGATCTGGAGGGCAGCAGGGCCCACAGGGATGTCAAGAAAGCCAAGAGGGCAGCCATGATCACACGACTGAGGTGGCCAATCTTGTCTTTGAGATGCTCCTGATGGGAGGAGTTCCCTGTGGAGATGCCCTTGACAGCTACCATAGACTAACATGGCTCTCCTTCTACAAGGTCTTCAAATAAGCCATGAGATGTATTTGGATGGCAAAAAGCAGCCATTGTGCCCTGGATTAAAGGTTGCTAGGGGCTGCACAGAAGAGTGAGCACTTGAAAACAGAAGACAATCGACATAACTTGGGAAGGATCTTGCAATAACCACAAAAGTTTGGCCATAGAAATCATTTGGTGGGAAATACAGCTTCTTTTAACTATTCGTTGAAAGGTAGACCCTTTGGGAGCCCGGGAGTTTCAAGATTCCCAACAGGCCATACTCACGTTGAAGCCTGACATACTGATATCGATTTGTGGCTCTCCTTCCTTCTGTCCTTTGGGGGCAATTTGGTTGAGGAGGTGGTAGTACGCTCTGGAGTCCTGGAGGAGGCAGGATCAGAAAAAAGGCATGAGACGCAGCTGGGCTTTTCCAGCCCAACGCTATGAACTCATCCCACGCGACGGAACATGTTAATTGGAAGGAGGAATGGTTCCTGTACCTTAACAGAGTTATGGAAGTCGGAAAGCTTGTAAAATCAAAAGGGGAAAAAGCAAAGGAGAGAGAGTGAAAGGCAGTCCGGACAGCATAGGAGAGAAGAGAATTAAGAACGTTAGATGGACAATCACTCGGACGGAGAGAAGGCCGAGGCTGCGTGCGCCCAACCTTTTGACACTTCCGCAAGCAAGGAACGGACCAAGGTTTTCACGCCTCGGCCCCTGACAGATCTACACCTTGGGGGCACAGTCCCCATTGTGGCAACTGTTGGATGGAGATAGGAGCAACGGGCTGCACTCACTAGAGGAAGATGGCACGGTCAGACATCTCCCCAATTCCAGCTGACAGAGGAAGCAGACCGTAGCCCATCCCCCTGTCCCACCCCAGTTCCAGCAATAGCCTCCATCTCAGATATACAGCCCCTTGCCCCGGGACACCCATGTCTTGGGAAATGCCGTAGACAGCTGGCAGAGTAGCAGCGTCTTAACTGAGACCCCTCAAGACGATGTGGGCCCACTCTCCTGCTGGGAAGCCTTGACCGTGCTCCCAGCTACTCAGAAGCGGGATGAGAGGAGAGCAACATTTGTTCCACCTGGGCCCCAATAGAGGCAGTGGCTACTGCTACCCCAGTAATAGCACTGTCCAAGTCACTTAATCCAGACCAGGGCAAATATATCCAGGCAAGGGCTCCCTGGCAGGGCGTCCAACTCTAGAGCTCCCCTCTAGAGGAAGGGAAGACCTGTTTGGGCATACTCCCACCGAGACCCCCAATACCTTTATCTCGGAGCTGAAGTTGTTGATCTTGTGCCACCCAGCGTTCTCCAGGTGGAAGTTGGCCCACCGCAGGAGAAGCTCTTCTGGGGACAACTTCATCAGGTCCTCCAAGGTCTCTCCATCGCGCAACAAGGCAGCCAAAGCTGAAAAGAGAAGCAACACAGGAACGGAGAGGAGTCTCGCTGGAGGCCCCCAGTTCATGGTTCCACCCTCCCCGATGAACGTACTTCGTTTGCCTTGGATGTAACCCCTCATTTCCCCCAGGAGCTCATGAAGAACTCCCTTCATTTGATTCCCACAACTGCAACCCTGTGAGGAGTCTAGGCTGAGGGAACTGGTCCAAAGTCACCCCATGACCCTGCAGGGCTAAGGGTAGATTTGGACATGGGCCTCCCCAGTCCTGGTCCAACCCCTTGACCACAGCACCATGCTGGCTCTCGGAAACATCCAGAGAAACCAACTTAGCACCCAGTGGCTTACTAGAAGACTTTAAATGGTCTCCGCTAAATCTTAGCCTTAGATTTGATCTCTAACTTTATCTACAAGGGAAGCAAACTAACAGCTTTGAGGGTTATGTCCTCGGCAGATGTTTTTCCTTTTTGATTATGCTGGATTATGAAACCAAAATAAAGTCAAATAAGGGTCTTAATTTATGAGAAGCAAAAGCCAATTTATTAGATTTGGCCGAGAGAGAGCATCTACTTTAGTATTCTAAGAGGGAGGGAGCAAACTTCTCCTGCCAAAAGGTTGGCCTTTAGAAAACAAAGTTTGCCATCCCATCCTTACCCAGAAAGAAGTGGGATGCAATTCTGAATTAGCAAGTTTAGGAGATACTTTGGTTTAAGTGATAGTTAGACATCGGTTTAGACCAGTGTTTTTCAAACTTGGCCACTTTAAGATGGGTGGACTTCAGCTCCCAGAATTCCCCATGCTGACTGGGGAATTATGGGGGTTGAAGTCCACCCATCTTAAAGTGGCCACGTTTGAAAAACACTGGGTTAGACATTCTGCTGGCATACCCCACTCCTTGCACGGTGCTTAGATAAGTCAGTGTTAAGCACAACTCTCTTACCATCCTTTTACATTTTTATCCCGTCCTTCAAGTCTTCCCAGTCTAAGACTAATCCAGCCATGCTCCCACCCATTCAGTGCCCTCTACAACAAACAGTGGAAACTGGCACAGTTACACGGCCATTTGCACAAGGGCTTGTCCCCTGCCCGGAGGGGGTTCTCTTGCCTTCATTTTTGCTGAGCTCTATGTCTGCAAACAAGCCAATCTTGATGATCTGCCAGAGCAGGCCAAGGACCAGATGGGGCTTTCCTTCCCTTAAATCTTCTGCGCCAATATTGACCACGTGGCACCCAATGGCGGAAGCAGAATTCAGAGCCAAATTCAGATTTTCCTGCAAGCGAAGGAGCCATTTAGAAGGATGTCATATGGAACCTGGAGGCTCTGCAGCACCAGAATCCTCTGGGAGGGAGATTCAGATCAGCTCATGGCAACACCTGAAATGACCACAAATCGGTCCCCCACCCCCACACGAATGGCGTCAAACGAAGGCCTCGCTGAACGTAATATTTAAAATTCCCTGCGTTGCAAACCTTGAACACAGTGATAGCAAGTTGCAAGCAACACAGAAACCCGCAGCTTTCTCACTCTGCCGGAGAAAGATAAGGCTTGAGACTCTGGTAACTGATCAAGAAAGGGAGAGAGAAAAGACAAGACAGAAGAAGGAAAAGAGAGGAAGGGGTCTAACTGAAAAGCTGGTCGGATAGCGTCTCCGCTTTCATCAGTGCCGAACACAGCCTTAGTCGGTCTTCCTCTTTGATCGCAATTAATATTTACTGAGCAGCCTCTCTTTTGTTGGGAAGGCTTCTGCTTTCAATACCCAACAAAGAGACAGCACAAAAGCCCCTTTTAATAATTAAAGGCACACAAAGCCCAACTCTCCTGTAGCCATTCCCTTGGCTAATGAACAAATCCGGTATTATTTAAGCCGGTGGGGGGGGAGGGAAAGACCTGGAAAACAATGGATCCCCACCTGAATTATGAATGGGGTAAGTTTCTTCTTGTTGATGGCTCGTTCATCAATTGTGTCAGGAACAGAGAGGTTGATCATTTTACTGAAGGGAGGCAAGAAGGAAAGTAAATACCCACACTGGCGTAGAGGGCATTGCAAACAGTCTCTCTTCAGCTTCCGCAGCTCCCTGAGCGGTTCCCCTGCACGCCGCCCACCATCTGCACCGCCCCAGAGCAGCGGCCTTACCACAGCACAATCCCGTCCCCGACGGCTTTGAAGAGGTCGTCCGTGTTTGGATTCATAGGAACGACGTGCTTGCAGTCCAGGTCATTCTCCAAAGCTTTGTTGATCCAGTTCACAAAGGCGTATTTCTCTTCCTCTAAAGTAGAGAGAGGCTCCGAGAGTAACGCCCGAGACACCAGTGAGAACGCACCACGCACAAAGCCCAGTGACACCCGGGGGTGGGGGACAGCAGTTCGCAAAGGCACGAGAACAGACGTGACACACGATGCACGTCCTCCCCTTGTTGCAAGGGCGCTGATGTTGAAGAGGTGGGGTTTGCCATCTCCACCATCTCGCCCTGTTTGCCCCCTCTCCCCCTGCGGACACCTCAGTCGATGCTGCATTAATTATTAAAGCCATCCTGAGACAGACTTTCTCCCTGCGGTCGGTCACTCAAGAATCGGAACTACCGACATAACGGATATTAGGTCTGTCAAAGAAGGTGGACGAGAGAAACAAACTGGAAGGGGTTTAACGATCGGGACTTTGGCGACAGAAAGTATCTGCGCGGTGCTGTCTACGGAACGTGTTAGGGTGGCTGGGAAAAGTTCAGGGCAGGTGCGAGAGCGGCAGAAAAGGGCCTCGTCCAGGAACGCTCCTGGCAGAGGCAGTCAGGTGAGCTGAACCTCCCAGGCGGTACCTGAGTACGAATGTTGGGTCCCTTCGCTGGAGAGCTCCGAAGTGCCCCCAATGGCACAGATGCCTTCCTTCCGATTGATGGCTTTTCTGAAGGTCTTGGCAATGTCGCTGCTTTTCACTTCTTGGAAGATCTGCAAGTGTAAACGAGCACCATTACTTCAGGGCCCGGAGGGACTTGCGGAAGCATCTGGAGGGCACCAGGGCGAGGAGGGTTGGGGTAAACGCCAGGAAGGTTTTTGTGTTGCTTCACAGATGCCAAAGTCCTAACTAGCTAGGATCTAGTATAATCTTGGGATACAACCCAGAAGAATTTCTGGGCACGACGCGAGGGGGGAACCGGGCAGCAGAAGAGTCCCACCCCAACCCCGAAGACTCCTCCGAGGGTCCCTTCGGTTTCAGCAGCAGGTCTCGGGAGCAGCGGCAATGTTTTTTGAGAAACAACAGGCCCAAGGGGACCTTCTAAAGGCAAGGTTCTGCATTAACCCAGCATAACTTTGGTTCTGAGCACACCCCCCACCCCCAATTGCTGGCTCTGCTGTTTTCAATATGGCTTTATTGCTTCATACATTTCAACTGTGTTGTACTCTACCCAGAAAATAGCTGTAACGGGGTGGTATAATAATAGGCTGAATAAATACATGGATTAAGGGCTGAAGGAACGAGAGCTGGATGGTCTCCCAGGAAAAGCCGACGCTCAGAGTTTTGGGGATCAGAGGGGTGGATGCAGAGGACCGACATCAGGACGGTTCCAGCCTTACATAAATGAACTCTTCAAAGCTGATCTTTCCGTCTTTGTTCTTGTCCCCATCAATCATGAGTTTCTGAATGATCTCTCTGACTTTGTACCCCGGGAGGGGAAGATTGGCTTCCTTGAAGAGTTCGTGCAGCTCATAATCGCAGATAAATCCATTGCTGTTGAGATCTTTCAGGTGAAAGACAAAGAGGAGATGGTAAAGTAAGGACCGGAGCAACACAGGGGTCTGATCTAAAGCCCCCCTAGTCCTGCCTTTGTCCCACAAGCCCACCATCCAAAGTCATCTGAGGCCACTGGCCACTTTCTGGTCAACTGCGAGTACCAGATCCAGTTAATTTATTTTTATTTATGTATTTGAATTTATTAGCCAACTCCAATGGATTCTGGGTGGTATACAAAACAGGAAAATCCATAAAAACAGATAAAATATCAAACCAAACGGGCAGCCCAGACTAAAGTGATCTTACAGACAACAAAAATCAAACAAAACAGGGGCCTTAGACAAACAATAATAAATCAACGATAACACATCAGTTGCTACCAAGCCATAAAGTAGCCTTCCCAAACCCAGATACTCTCCTTCCTCAGCCACCGTGGCCACCGTGGAGAATTCTGGGAGTTGAGTTCACGCATCTGGAGTGTGGCTGAAGATGGCCATAAACCCTGTTGTGTGATCCTCAAGGCTGGGCTCACATACCGCTGTAAACCCCCTGCCAGCGAAGGTGGTTTAGATAAAACCCCCCAACAAATGCTGATGATGGATCAGTTACAACCTCAGTTCCCTGCTGACCAGACTGCGGCCAGCTTCTCTTTTCTGCTTTCCAATGTCCTTGGAGGTGCTGGGTTTTGCCTTTTCTGCTCTGGGTCCAGCTCGCCCACGAGGGGCACTGCAAAGCCGCCACACCTGGCTTCCCGAAAGCCATGGGCATTGTGGCAGAGGTTCTAGGTTTTCCTACGGGTAGGCTCTGAACTGGGACCCCAAAACAGGGATGATTCTGGTCCTGGCCTTTGGGAAAAACAGGCCTGCATCCCCTGCGTTGCATGCCAAGATTCCCTCTGTTTAAACCCAGCAGCAGACTCAAGTCGGGCAGCCTCTCTCTTCTGCAACTTGGCACCAGGTGAGAGACAATTCGAGCTGGCCTCCTTCCCGAGAGTCTTGCAAGCCGCCAGTCGCTGTGCAGAGAGTTCAGAATTGGCAGTGGCTTTCTGAATGTTATTTCTCATCAAAGCGCCTACGGCGAGCCTGACCACTAAACATGCACTGGAGCTATTAAGTTCTGCAGAATTATTTGCAAGACTGATACATTCAGGTTTCTGTGACTCATTTCAGAATGAACCCAGAGAGAAAAGAGGTACTTTTTCTGCACGGCCAGGAAACACAGCCGTCATTTTTTAGAAAGGCTATTTTGGGACGGAAAGGGTGCGGGGTACGTTATCCACTCTTCCACCATCCACGCTCAGAAGACGCGAGAGAAACTGTATGCAGGTTCTTTCCCTCTCAAGATGGTGAATGGGGCTGACCCCACTTGAAGAGCAGAATTTTTGGGAGTGAAGGGTGTCTATCAAAGGAGCCCAAAATACCGAGGTCAATGGTGAGCATTATGACTTCTTTACCCAAATCAGAACTTAAATAAATGTAGCTGGTGAAAAGCAAGTGAGGCATCAGAAAATGTTCGTGATGGCAAAAACCGATGTTCTAGGGCAGTGCTTCTCAACCTTGGGAACTCTAAGAGGGGTGGACTCTTAATGCTGGCTGGGGAATTCTGGGAGTTGAAGTCCACCCCTCTTAGAGTTCCCAAGGTTGAGAAGCACTGTTCTAGGGAATCACTCCAACCTAAATGCACCATTCATGATGCTGGAAAGCCCAAAACCACTCACCAACTTTGGCAAACGCCTCCCTGAGTTCCTCCAACTCATCTTTGGATATCTGTGTAACGCTGGCCATTTTTGTGCATTAAAACACCACCTAAAAAAAGGAGCAGGGGGAGAGAGAGAAGAGAGAGAGAGATCAGTAAGTGAAGAACACAAACCCACATCCAACGAGATTCATTAATCCATAGAGGTAACCCAACAGACGAGAAGTCCGGCTGTTTAACTTCGCCAGGGTTATGTTATTCCGTTGCTAAAGACTTGCACCTCCCACCTGATGCAGAGAAATTCTCAGTACCGCTTGAGTTTTGAGGAAGAATTCTACATTACAAACCCCGGGATGGAGAGCCACAGCTCACAAAATTAATCAAAGAAGACGCTACCAGACTCCGGACCTTTTGGCTACAGTAAACCCTGAAATTTACCGATGCTTCCTGGGGATCCGTTAACCACAAGGGCACCTTGTTTTTTTACAACTGCGGCAGCTCTAAAAGAAAAGCTGTTTCAGCCACTTTGCATTGGCTGAAAAGATCCACTTGTAATTCCATCATCTTTTCAAACTGGTTTATCAGTCCTGGCTTTCTGTTGCCCAGGGACGTCAAGGTCTTAAGCAAATAAACAAGCCTTGCAAACTGCGTTCCCAAGGTCCTAGCAAACGCTCGGCCATCCTGCCTTGTTTGTTCTTCCCATTTCTACCCCACCCTCCCACGAAGAGCACAAATGCAACAGAGCTGGGAGGGGGGCTGGACTGAGCACGGAAACCGACCCAAGGCCGGCCGGGAGTTTCGGGGTGTCAGCAGGGAGGTCTTTAGGAGGTTCTCCTCCCCCTGGGAAGGAGCAACTACCCAGGATTAAAGTCAGCTACCCCCCTTGGCAAAGCAAGTGATTCCCGTTGGGCCCAGGCTCAGCCCACCTGTCTCAGCAACCTGGCAAAACGCTGGAAAAAACTCGAATCACGAACAGCAGGAAGGGACACCAGTGGACCTTTCTGGTCAGGGAAAAGCGTGCTCGAAAAACAGCCCTGACCGACAAGTCCGTTTGCGTGGCCAAAGCTAGCTGCCTGCCAGCAGGTCTTGCTGGAAGAGGCACAGGGAGCCTCCCCTGCCTGTTTGCAGCGCCTCGCACATTTTCCAGCTGCAAGCCATCCAGCGCAGCGAACAGGTTTGCAACCCAGAGAATCATCGACTCCACCATCGTCCTGGCTACTGTTGCACCAGTGTTTCAGGAGCCAGCGCGCTGCCCTTCTTCAGCCTCGTCCCCAAACTGAAACACTACTCGACACACAAAGAGGTGGCAGGCCTCCTCGGCGCCGGGAACTTTCCATTCATAGCTGCATTCAGAGATGAAGGAAAATAACCTCTGATTCACTAGGCAGGAACTCCCTCCTCTGCCCAACCGGTCCAGCACCCGAGCAGGCGAGAGCGCGAGATTAGAAACAGGTGCTCTTCTTCCTGATCTGCGTTGTAACGTTGGGGGTCACCCGCTGAGAGGGGAAGGCATAAAAGAAGAGCCGAAGCCAGCAGGAATACGTCGCTGTGAAGTTTTTAGGAGGAAAGGACCCACCCGTTCATAACGTCCCCCGGCCTTTACTTGAAGGAAATGGAAAAGGGCCACCAGAAATTTAGAACTACCAAACCATAGGCAAATATTTTTGGAAAGCTGAGGTCAAGGAACTGATAGGTGATCCAAAGACAATTCACCTTCTCAAGACAGTCAAAGGGGCACCCGGTTCCTTTGTGACTCCAAAGAGAGGGGCAATTCTCTCCCTTTCTTGAGCAGAAAGACGGATTCACTTCTGCACCTCTGGAGCAATTTTGGTTTTTTGTGGGGTAGGGAGATTTCCTCTCCGTAAGCAGATCTTCCTCTTGGTAAACTGATGGGGTGGGAGGGCATGTTTGTGGACGAGCCCACTCCCACTTTTCTGCAGCAGCCTCTCTGCAGCCCGAAGGGACGAACTGTTTCCTTGCTTGCTAAATTCTCTCTTCGCCAAAGATGCTGTCTGTCCCTGTATGCAGCCAGTGCAAGATCATTGCACAACACTCCGTGGCCCATGCGTTAAGTGAAATTATCCAGTTTTAAAATGCACCCCATCAGGTTAGCCCCAGACTCAGTTTCGGGAAAACTGAATAGAATTTACCACTTACAAAAATGCAGACAATAAATCTAACCAGGGTCTTGGTGACAAGACTGCTGTGTATTTAACCCAAGGAGGTATTCATTCGCTAATTAGTTAAGTGTTGCTTTTACTAGTAGGAGTAAACCACAAGGTCAGGGAACGCCCAGCAAGGAGGACAATCTGGAGGGAGTAGCCAGCCCCAATGACATCAGCCTGACTCAGGCTGGACCCACCAACAGCCGCACCAGAATGTGCAGGATGGGGGCCAGGACAAAGTCAAGATGGCCTTCTCTCTGCCAACAGGCATGGAACAGCCAATATCCATTTTCACCTCCCGAATGGCTGTGACTTTTAACATTTGGGTTTTGGCTGGCCGGTGGTGATGGGAGTTGCAGTCCTAGACTTCTGGAGGGCATTAGTAGGGGAAACTAAGTTAGCCTACTTGGTGTGTATCGCACAAAAGGACTTTGCAGACGTTGCTCTCTGTTATCGTAATTGGCTGTGGAGCCCTGGTGGGGAGCTCAGTCTTGCACACGAGTAGTCACATGCAAGGGCCTCCTGGTGAGAGGATAAGCATTTCTTCTGCGCCTTTTAATTTCCAGCCCTGTTTCCCCAGATTCTCTTCATGTGCTATTTCCTTTGGCTTTGCTGAAGTTAGGGTGGCCTGCGTTTCTCTGTTTCGAACATGGAAGTGGTAAGAAAGGGAAGAGTGGGTGGGAGGTCTAAGCGGGACTGGACCTCCGCCTGAACGGAGACTCAGGTCTCCCCAAAGCCAAGGAGCATCTTGGGGAGGGGAGGGAGTTCACACCACTGGCATTGGCAGGAAAAAGAAAAAGGAGGGGAAGGGACCTTAATGTCAAAACAAGACACAGCAGCAAGACAGCAGAAGTTCATTGTTTTTGACATTCTCAGTAGAAGAACTTTGGGTGATTGCTTGATTTAAATAATATTGGACCTTCAGAGGAATTCTCCTCTCTTCCCACCCAAAAAATTGTACTCAAAGTATGAGTATTCAGAGGACTGGTGCCAGAGATTGCCCAATCCAATGCTCTTCTTTGGGAAATTTCCATTCCAGGGCTTGGGATGTTTTGTGGGGGAACCACGGTTTTTATTGTATGACACATAACAGCTTTAACATTTCTGGGCTCCTGAATAATGTTAGCTTAAAGGGTATTGAAACGCCTCTCATTAGAGAAAGTCTCCCATTCTTCCACACTGGAAAGGAGCAGGCACATCCCTGATTTTTCTTGCACACAGCTAGTCCCTAAAAAGGAGAAGTGGGCTCTTGGGTCATCTAGAACTCTTGGAGAGCAACCAAGGGTCCAGGGTTTCTCAGCCTCAGCAACTTTAAGATGTGTGGACTTCAACTCCCAGAATTCCCCAGCCAGCATGCCTGGGTTGAAGTCCACACATCTTAAAGTTGGTAAGGTTGAGAAACCCTGCTCTAGTCCATCTCCCTGTCCAAGGCAGGAACCCACTATTGCAGCACCCAGAGGGCCACCCATAGGTAAGTGTTGGTTCCCAGGCTGATAAAGATCCAAGCAACAGTTATGGAAACCAGCTGCAAACTTCTCCATTATCAGCGAAGAAAGACGCCTCGCCTCTGGGGCACCAATGGGCTGTGAGAAAAACCCTGAGAAGCTCCACCCGAACGCACACCAAGATATATCAGCGCTCCACTGAAAACAGTTCAGCTGCGGGAAACCTTGCGTCACAACTCCTACCCTTCCAATACATCTCGCTAAAGAGAGATCCAGGAGGAATTTGAACCGATTTCTCCAGATGCACCTCTTCCTACGGGTTCTCACAGACACAGTGCAGTGGGAAAACAAAATATTTTGAAATAGGCGGTGGGGCCCTTCAAATGAAGGCTAAGCATAATCAGGGTTTTCCCATGCCAAGCCCTGCTCTGGTCAGGGGGACCACCATTCCTTTCATATTTTGAATGCGCAACAGCCAAAATGGGTTTGGAGGGGGAGGAGGATCCATACACGGGTGGCCAAATACAGAAGTCCTCTGGAAACGATATACCGAGCATTTACTAATGCTCCAATCTTCTCCTTCAGCTGGGAGATGTGGGGGCAGGGGGAGTGAAGTGCATTAGAGCAGTGTTTCCCAACCTTGGCCGCTTGAAGATGGGTGGACTTCAACTCCCAGAATTCCCCAGCCAGCATGCTGGCTGGGGAA